GAAAAAATCGCTCTGGTTGCAACTCAGGTTGCAGAGTGGAGGAGTAGATAAGATGCCAAATGGACATCAGGGCAAGTTTTCCCTCCGGGGGGGGCGGGGTGTGGGGTGGGGAGTTCCGCTTAGCAGAGGGGTTGATGGCGTAGAGCATGGACTCTGGTCCCAGCTGCACCACTTAATAGGTGGTGACCTCGAGCAGTCACACTCTCTGTCCCTCATTTTCCTCATCTATGAAATGGGGATAATACCCATACCTCGTAGGGGGTTGTCCATAGGATTGTAGTAATGGTTACACGAGCTAAGTTTGTAAAGCATTCAGAACATTGCCTGCTGTGTAAGGCTTGTTAAACAACGGGAAGGGTGCTCTAGACCTGTAACTGAGTTTTCTGTGATTTTTTGGTCTCTTAGACTTGAACAGCTGAGCTGGGATCTAAGCATGTGGTGAGAGCCCACTTTTTGCTTGTGTTTCCCCCAGTCGTTTATCACTCACTTTAAGTTCCCTGCCACAGGAGAACACTGAAGATTTTGAAATCTCTTGTTGGGCTTGGTTTTATCTAGTTCAAGGGCTTTCAAAAATTTTTTTAAAACAGTTCAATCCTTTTGTCCAAATTCTTTTGCAAAACTCTGATGTTTATAACATAAAACTGTGCTGTTCTGGTTGAAATAACAGTCAAAGGTTCTCATCACCGAAACATCCACTTCACTTCCTTTTTCCTGGGGTTCCTCCAGAACCAGGGGACACAGTTTGGACACCACTGGTCTGATCAGTTGAGGGAGATGTAAGTGACTTACCCAAGGTCACACAGTGAACCGACGGCACATTTGGGACTAGAACGTGGGTCTCCTGACGGCTTATCGGCCCCCTTTCTATTAGGCCAGGGGCTCTCAACTTTGCTGCTCATTGAAATCCCCCGGGAAGCTTTAAAAAGATCAGTGGTGGGGCCCCACCTTCAGACATACTGACTTAATTGGTCTGGGCTTGGCCCCTGCATCTACAAGTGCTAGATTTATTCAGTCCTTAGTAAGAAACAAACTTTCTCTGTGGAAAAATCGTCTTACAAGTTTTAGTTGTGAAAATTACTAATTGAATCTTAACAATTAGCTGCACCAGGGTTTACAGCACTGCTGGGCAGAGGTGTCCTCAAAAGGAGAGCGTTGAGCCCTCTGGGCCCCGAGTCAGAAGTCCCCTAATCTGGTTTCTTCTCCACCGCTCAAAAATTCCCCGGATATTTTGTCAACTAGCTGCTGTTGCGGTAGCTGCAGGATGCTTCGTCTTGTTGAAGGAAACGGTTGGATTACCTGTCAGAAAAATTTCGGGTGCTTTTCTACAATGTCGGAGCATTCCATTGCAGTGGGGCTGTTATTTCATGGGGTTTGGTCTTCTTTGGTTCAAATCGTGACTCTAGAAACACGATCGAGTTTGGTGTTTCAGAACCTGTGCCCGGACGCTGATACGCTCGCTCCTGTCCAGCCCTCGCCCACCCCCAGTGGCTTCCTCCAAGACGCCGCTGGCCTTCCTTTCAAGTCGGGCGCAGGAGGACTGCGTGTGGGGGTTTCACTCAGGCGGCCTTGGGCCCCGGGGGAATTAGATGTGATGAGCAAGCAGTCCTTTCCTTATGCCACTTTTCCCAGGGGCGAGGGTGTCGTACACAATGTGGACTTACTAACGCGGCAAATAGCAAGAGCTCTGGTGGGTTTCATAATTGCCATCGTTGCAGGGGAGTGACAAGCATAAGCAATAGTTCAAGATGTGTAGAGTGACATGTACACTATTTCTATTGGTGACCAAGTCACAGATAGAACACTGATGATGCTGTGCTTTGTTGCCTTACCTTTGTCATAGGAGGAAATGCTAAATTTCAGAGTTTATGAAAATGCAGATAGATTCATGGACTCCCTGAAGTCTAGCCACAAATGCCCTAAATTAAGAACCTTTTCCTGGGGTTCAGTTTTACTCCCGGTTGACACCCACTTGAATTCTTTTTGTGCTTGTGCCCGACTCACCTCACACTCGTCCTTCCCGCCGTGCACACCACAGTCCCAGGAGGCCGTAGAAACATGCACACCCTTTCTTCTCCGTGTCCCCAGCTCTTGTGACAGCATCCAACAACAGTGGCTTATCAAGATGTCAGGAAGCCCAGGTGACAGGAAGGCTGGGGGCAGGCTGTCCAGGGCCTGGGCGGCGTCCCCAGCAGGACCTCTGGGCCGGGCTCCTCGCCTGCCATCCCACCCCTGAGCTGCACCTTGCAGCCTTGCTCACAGGAGGGCCATTCCACCTCCAGGTGTGGCTGCTGTGGCCAGGCAGGAAGAAACGGGGGAGGATGACGGGCAAAGGCCAGGCCAGGTGAGTTATCCTTTTATCGGGAAAACAGTAGCTTTCCTGGAAGGTCTCCTGGAGACTTCTCCCCAGGAGACTGCTGGCCACCGTGTCACCTCTCCATCTCTCCAAATTCAACTTGTCCTGTCTTCAAGGCCCAACTCCTTTCCCAGCCCACATTCGTCTCTACTTGTTAGATAGTGAAGCTTTAGAGCCAGCAGAGGCCTCGGCGTCTTCCAGGGTAGCCCCTCATTATGGTGAAGAATGGAAGCCCAGAAAATGACTTACCCAGGATCATATAGCAACAGTATTGATCGCAGCTACACACGAGCGCACACTCTGGACTTACTACTTGCCGTAAATTACCACTTAATTCTCCCAAACGCCCCCTCCCCCATAAGGTGCTGTCACCTGCCTTCTACTTACCAGGAAACCGTGGCACAGGGATGGTAAGCAACAGGGACAGCAGCTCCGGGGTGACCCATCTGGGGTCTAACGCCTGCTCTGCCACCCACTCAGCTGACCCGTGGGGGAGATGCCGTTCAGACCCCAGGCTCCTAGTCCTTAAGTCATTGTTCTTTCCACGTGACTTTCCCCTGCATTAGGGTGCGTGCTCCTCTGTTTATGGGGCTTTCCCTCGGTCATGTGTTTCTTTCCGCCTCGGTTTGACTGTGTGTATCTCCAAGGTTGTATTTCCCTCCCAACGGGCTCCTCACTATCACTCTTTGTTCTCTCCTAATCCTCACAGCGTAGCTTGAGTGATCCTTGAAAAACATACATAACTTTTGTCACTCCTGCCTCAATCAATGGCTTTTTGTTACTGTTAGGCTAAAGTTGAGATCCTGCATGTGTCCTGGAAGAGCTGAGGGCTACTTCCCTCTCCAGCCTCATCTCATCCCCCTCCTCGCCTGCCTCACTCCCTACCTGGCCGTGGTTCAGTCTCCTCTTACTCATCATGCACCTTCCACCACAGGGCCTTTGCACCTGCTCTTGCTGCTGCCCGGCATTCTCTTCTCTCCCCTCCTTACCTTGTGAACTTCCAAAGAGCCCTCAGCCTGTTCCTCGTGTCCTCAGGAAGTCTCCTCTGATGTGTCCCTCTGCAGGCTGGCCTCACAGCACCAAGAACCTCTCCTGGTAGCCCTCACCAGAATTATGATCTTACATTTATGTGTGTGATTATGTGATCAGTGTCTGTCTCCCCCACTAGATTATTAAGATCAGACCATGTCTGAGATCTCTGTCATCCAGTGTTTTATCCCACTGCCTACTTTCATGCCTGTCACATAGGGATTGCTCAGTAAGTATTTGTTGACTAAAAAATACGACTATTTTCTCTCTCAGCACCTAGCACAGAATTGAGTGAAAACAAAATTTTAAAGGGCACAGACAGTAATGAGTGGCATATGTCACCATAATTACACAGTATCTTCCAGCATCATTCTAAGATGGACCAAAAATGGTGGTTACCAGGGACTGGAGGTTGGGGCGATAGGACAGATGTTGTTTAGGGGGACAAACTTACAATGAGTAGTAAATAAGTCCTAGAGATCTGATGCACAGTACAGTGAATATAGACAACAGTACTCTTATAATAAACTTGCCAAGAGATTAGATCTCAATTATTCTAACCACAAAAAAGAAATAATGTGACATGATATAGGCGCTAACCATTGCTACAATGGCAATCACATGACAATATATAAAGACAACATGTTGTATACCTTAAATTTACACAATGTTGTATGTCAAATATATTTCAATTAAAAAAAAATAAGATGGACCCGAAGAACTTTATTTAATGGCTTCAGCTAAAAAAAGAAGTCAGTATTTATTGCTGTGGGGTGGATAAGCCTAGTAGTCAGAAGTAGATGTTAAATGCATCTTACATATTTAATGACTCACTCCTCCAGATATATCGTAATCGAGCTCCTTTTTTTCCTATAGCTAAGGTCTTGGGTGGTGTGTGATTTAAACGTGGCCTTTGAAAGTGTTCATCTTGAAGTCTAGAAATCACCTGGCAGATACTTAATCCATGGTCGCTGTAGAGACGCGAGCTGCCCGTAACTTTAGGGTGGGAAGAGGAAACAAAGGTGTTCCGTGTCAGCTGGGAAACTGAGGACGGTAGGAAATGGGAAAGGAGATTGGAGCTGGCCGCATCTTGTGAAGCCTGGCCTGGACTGGGTGTCTGAGGGAAAGACATGTTCTAAAAGTTCAGGATGGTAGACCAAAGGATGGAGCAATTATCTGGGAGTGTAAAAGCCCTAAGGGCGAAAACTGGGTCTACTTGTTTCCCGTGAAGAACCTGCAGAAAGGGCCTGGCTTCCTCCCAGGACTCCGGGCGAGCTGCTCTGGGGGCGGGAGAAGGGACGGAGGGCTTGGAGGCTGAAGCTGGGCGTGTTGGTGTGGAGTTTGCCCTCGACCATCCGCACGTCGGATTCCAGCAGATCTTGACCCCAGGTAGTAACTGAGCGGCTGGTAATTTGGGCTCCTCCTCCAGACGGAGACGAGGGACCTGCATCCCTTGGGTGGTGGCAACAGCAGTGACACCTGTGGGGACCCTTCCCTGACCGTTTTTGCCGGGACCCCTCTTTGCAGACCAGACAGACACCCGGGCGGACGGCTGGGCCCGAACCCTCGCCGGGTCGGCGGCCACCGCGCCTCTCACTCCCTGTCGCTGTCCCCGCAGGACTCCGAGGGCGTCTCCTGCCACTACTGGTCGCTGTTCGACGGGCACGCGGGCTCGGGGGCGGCGGTGGTGGCGTCCCGCCTGCTGCAGCGCCACCTCGCGGAGCAGCTGCAGGACATCGTGGAGATCCTGAGGAACTCGGCCGCGCCGCCGCCCACCTGCCTGGGCGAGGAGCCCGAGGGCGCGCCGGCGCCCCGCACCCTGACCCGCGCCGCCTCGCTGCGCGGCGGCGTGGGGGCCCCCGGCTCGCCCGGCACCCCGCCCGCGCGCTTCTTCACCGAGAAGAAGGTCCCGCACGAGAGCCTGGTGGTCGGCGCCCTGGAGAGCGCCTTCAAGGAGATGGTAGGTGTCTGCAGGGTCGGGCCGCAGGGCCGGGCCCTCCAGCCGAGTGCTGGCTTCCTGGCAGGGCCCTGGAGGGGCGTGTCTGGGACCTGTCCCCTTGCTGCGTGGTCCCCTGGACATCTCCCGTCTATAGCGGGGCTTCCGTTCTCCGGGGAAGTTGGCGGCGAGAGGTCTGGCATTGAGTGCTGGCGGAAAGTAAAAAGAAGAGGAAAGAAGGGGCTAGTGCAGGACGTAATGGGCTTATTAGATGTATGCACCATTGCCTGTCTTTCGCAGACTGCTGATGCCAGCCGGGACAATCCCACCTAACTGCAATGTGAGCGTGGTTGCCACCTGCTTCACACACGTGTGTGAATTCCAGGTGTTTGGGGAAACAGAGCTTTTAGTAAAGAGCTCAAAGGTCCCCTTCCCTTACAGATCTGACCTGAGAACAGCTATTTTACAGTGACTGGCAGTGTGGTTCACGGCCTGAAAAAAGTAGGGGCCGACAGCCAAGAATCATTTGTCTTACTTGGGAACATGGATTTGTTTGTACATTTAAATTTGAGTGTGTCTGATCAAGGAAGTCAGCCTCCTTCCTGTCAGCCTCATGCCTGAGAACACATGCAGGGTGAGAATGCAGCTGCTCTCAGCGTCCCTTGCTGTCCCTCTGCCCAGTGAGGGTGCACACAGAGGCTCTGCACCTGCTCCATCCTGCACCACCCTGCCCTCTGAGCCCACTTTCTGCTGAGGCGATTATTTGGGTTCCAAAGATTTTCTCTCCCGAGCAGCAGCCTGCGTGCAGATCAAGGGTAAGAGATATATAAAGGTGTTGTAAGGACTTGAGTAAGGTGAGTGGCGGTAATGTCCTTAAAACCTGGAGATTAAAAAGTGACGACAAGCTGTTAAGTGAAGCCAGAGCAGCCAGAAGCATCTCCCCAGAGCCGAGTGTCCACACCGTGCACACTCCAGGGTCTCCTGATGTCAGGTCGTGTGCTTGTGAGAGGAGAAAAGTAAAGACTTAAACAGCGTCATCTGATTTGTTTGTAAGGCAACATAGTTCATAGAGTCATACCTCACATTCACACCCGCTCCCCACTTTCCCCACCCCTTCTTTGGTCCCGGTGTTTCTCTCCTTGTCACGTAGATATTTACCCTTTGATTAGCAGGTGGTCTAAAAGGTGCCTCCATCTCAGGGGTGTCTGCTAGCCTTCAGTCCCAAGAGAAACCCCAGGAGGCTGGAAAAGATTGTTTAGGAAAAGGAATCGAGGTAGTAAAATGGACTCCTGCTCGGGCTTGCTGTGAAATCTTACTCTGCAGCTGTCAGAGAAGCTCTGGTGGGAATAAGTGTTTCTAGTGTTCAGAATGCTAAATATTTAATTGAGGTAAAATTTGACAATGGGCTCTCCCTGTAATGGAAAAAAAAGTCAGCCTACGTGATAGAGGTGAAAAACCCAAGAAACGTTGGGTTTTCCATTTCCTTCAGTAGTTGCTGGGATCGTGGAACACTTTTCCTGGGAGCTGCTGAATTCTCAGTTTTGTCCACTAGAGGCCAGTGTCGCACTGAGTCGGGTCTCCACTGCCTTTCAGGCTGTTTCTGCCCATTACCGGCTCAGGGTTACTAGCAACAGCTCTATTTGAAACGAGAGGCTCATTCAGAAAAATAGTAGTAAAGAGCCTCATTCTTGTCTTTCAGATTTTTTTTCAGCTTTTAACTAGTCAGTTCATTACCTGAAATTTGTCTTGGACACTTTAGTTGCCAGCGAAAATATCGTGTCCCTTTCCCGTGTAATTCATTCAATCGATACATGTCCGTCGAGAACTCACTATATGCCAGGCCTAATTGGGAAAAGAGCATTGAACAAATGAGGCAAAGTCGGGTATAAACAAGGAAAATCTGGATGGGAAGGACCTGAGAGGAGAACTGCAGGGTGAAGGAGTCTGATAAAGAGACGAGGCGGAGGGCTCCTGGGGGCGGGGATGCGGGGGCGGAGCTAGGGGCGAAGCAGACACAACGTGGGGGCCGGAGCGCGTCCTGGGGAGGAGACCGTCTGAGTGAAGGACCACAGCGCAGGGAACGCGGGGGGACCAGGCTGCCGCCCACCGTGGTTCGAGAGAGACTTCAGGGGTAGGAATGATGGCAGGTGAACTCGGGAGACGGTCTGGGACGCCCCTCTGAGGACCTGCTGTGCGGTATTCTGAGTTTTGGGCTTTAAGCCACGCCTCCTCTTCTGCAGTCCAGTCCGTCCCATCCCACGACTTCCTCTTCACACTTGTTTTTCCCGGATTCTCTCTCCAGCCCCCACGTGCCGGAGGCCCGCCTGGACTTGGCACTGTGTGCTTGGCCCTCTGAAGTGAGAACACTCATCCTTCTGTGTTCTCTGGGTGCCCGGCGGGTGGCTCTACCTCCTGCTCTGCTGGGGACCGAGCCCGCTGATGCCTGTTGGCCCAGAGTACTTATTCGTACTGCCCCCTTTTACTCTCAGGAGTGTCCCTGCGTGGATGACGTCTTATGTTTGCCCTAATCACAGAGAGATGCTCTTGTTTCTTTGCTTCAGGAAAAATCGACTCCAGTGTCAAAGAAACGTGCCTGACAACCATTAGATTGCTTGGGGTGAGCTTCAGAACCCACCACACAGAAATGATACAGCACACTCTCGATTTAATGGCCCGGAAGGCCATTGCCAACTCCTAAAATGCTTTTTCTCTCCTCCCCCTCTCAGTGTTAGGTTTCTGCGAGTCAGTGTTTGAAGGTAAACTTTGCTTTTTGGAAATGCCCGACTCCGTAGCTGATTTCCTTATCTTGTTGGCCTGATCTTGGTGGTTCCTCTTCAGGCCTTTCAGAGAGGGCAGGTTTAGAATTTCCCAGCTCTTCCTAAATTTTTTCCTCCCAATGACCACCCACTTTCTGGCTTTCCTGTTTCTAGGCGTTCTTTCGGTAGTGTACCATTCTGATCCTCTATAATACGAAAACTCAATATTAAATAAGATTCAGCCATTTCCGCTTTGTGGCTCTCTTGCTTTCTCTCCCACTTTTAATCCCTAAAAATTCTCCAAGCCCAGCACCCAAGCCTCAAATGTGCCTCACTGATGACATCTTTGCAGCTACCCGTCCTGAGATCCAGAATGTAACTTATAATGTCCTTAAAGGCCAAGCTTGCCTTTCGTTTGGGGTTTTGTTTTCTTTGCAGCCGTTCAGCAATGTAGAACCAGAGGTCTTGGGTCTCTCTCTCTGCAAGGCCTTCTCAGTCACTAGTGTTTATTGAGCTTATATTTTATAAACAACATTCTTCTTGACACCATGGGGGTCTAGAAGTAGGAGATTAGATTTTATATCTGGGGGCGTCAGTAGTCGCACGATCTGTGACTCTAGAGATACGCAATAGCTCATGTATTTTGATGTTCTAAGTAACATGAAGTGGGGGGTGAGATGTTGACATCTATCCGAACGAGAGAATCCCTTAAGAAGATTCAGAAACACCAAGCCAGAATACATAGTACTTATTTCTAGGAAAAAGTAAGTACTAGCTTGCAAAATATAGACTCACATAAGTGGAAAAAGAAAAAGCTTTGAACAAGAGGAGAGGATAGCAGTTTCGTCAAATATACCGAAGCTTCTCTGAGGGCCCCACTTTCCCTTCCTCTTTGACTCTTGGTTGCCCGGCGCAGCGCGTGGCTTGTGGTAAAGGTGACCCCTGACCCCTAATACTGCGCGTGCTGGCAGAGGCCAGGGCCCTGCAGCTCCCTTCTTGTATCTCATCTTGGATCTTCCTTCATAGTGAGATGGCTGCGTAGACAGTTCCTCCTGTGTCCACTACGGAAGATGAACTGGGGCTTCCTCGAGGCCTGGAATCACAGGAGCCTTTTCACTGACTTCAGTTCTGCCAGCAACGCCTTGTAACAGCGCCTACTTTAGCAGCTAAGTTTTGTCCCTGTTACGTTGAGGTTGTTGCTTGCAAGGATGATAGATGTGAATAACAGTCTCCTCCCTACTTCCCCACCCTCCAGAAACAGGGTTGAATAGTCAGCATTTCAGACAGGTGAAGGAAGTCACTTCCATTCCTGGGAGACCTTTGCTCTCCTGCCCCCTACAGGATTGGAGTTCTGCACACAGGCAGGGGGGATCTCAAAATTCTGTCCTATTTCCTTTTCAATGAGGGTATAGATTCCTTGCCACAGTGAAGAATGTTCTAGAAGTTTGGTTGTGATGAAGGGAGAAAAATAGCAATTTTGTACGGTAAAACTACCGTACATCTTTCTATGTATGCACATGGTTGGAAATACCACTCAGCTTGGCTTCGTTGGTAAAAAACCATATAGTGAAAAAGAGGCGGATGAATGCAAAGCTTATTTATAGTTTTAAAATCCTAATGTTTTCAAAAATTAGCATATTCGTGGTAAGTTGTGGACCTGCGTATCTGTCTGTATTTAAGGGAGAGTTTTGTTCTGTTTTTGGTAGAACAGGAAGTTCCTCCAGGAAGGAATGAGCATCTGATTCCACTGACAGCCAGCAGGTGGCAATATTAGGCAGCACAGACTGGTTTTCTCCTTTCCGCTTGCCTGGCTGACAGATTGGCTTGTTCTCAGAATAAACCGAAATCAGACCCAGATACTAAAACCATGCAGAATCTTATTATTTGTGACTGATACTATTGGCAGTGTGCTCAGAACCGTGTTTTAACCCAGCCATGGGGAGCTGCCAGTCCTATAGAAACTACCCCACCCTCGCTCGCTTCTGTTGTCTGGCATGGCTTTCCTCTTGCAACCTGAAATGGGCAGCAACAAAGAATAATCCTGGAGTTGCATCATCTCTGGGACTTTCAAACCAAATTACAACCATCCCGGGCAATATATTTTCTTTCTCGCAGTTCTTTCCTGCTGAATTAGTCTCATTTCACACACATCTCTCTTCCCCTCATTGCCCCCACTCTTGCCTTACAACAAAAAGGAGCAAGATAAAATCCCAGGTCTTAAAAATTGGATCCATTCTTTGATTTAAAGATAAACCTAGCTTAAATGTAATATTTAGACAGACACAGCACAAGAGAAATCCATCCTGCTAAGTAGAAAGCAGCCTTGAGGGAGCTTCAGAACTCTTAATTGGGCAGATACATCAATTATCTTATTAATTGAATCTTAGGAGTCATTTAAGTTGATCCTTTTAGACCATACATGAAAAGAAATGATAGCATGTGTTTTGCTAATAAGTTATTGTAGACTTATGTCTTGGAGTTTACTGACAGCTAAAATGGGGAAATATTCCAAATTGGTCCTTGTTTAGCACAGAGCAGTGGGCCGTTTTTCCCATGATTTCATTGATTTTTTTTGAAAAAATACCAAAACTTGAGGGTTTTAATAATAATTACACATTTTTCTGTATTTTTTACCTAGACTATGAGAAGCTTAAGCTAATTGGAAAAGCTGAGAGTTTGAAGAACATAGGTAGTTAATTCCACAATAAATGCATCTTTATTGACTTCATTTATCATGTTTGATCTGGTTGTAAAAGAACCACCGAGGTGGTCCTTTAATGTTCCTGTCAGTACTAAGATTTTGTGAAACTTCTTTTAAAGGGGAGTAGGTGGTGTAGGAAAAAATAAGTGTGCTATTTTGGCTTCTAGGGAGGGGAGGGGAAGCAATTATTTTTAGACTATGTTCTAGTTACACCCAGTTTGAGAAGAAATAAAAGAGTGTATTTTAATGTCAGTGAATCCTTCAGGGGGACGAAGTCTATGGAAACATCTTTCAAATCCTTATCACTGTGATCCCAGAGAGCACGCATGTAATTAAAGTGTGTGTGTGTACATACGTGTGTGTGCAAGTGCATACACACACATGTATGTTACCACACAAAGTGGGGGGACTGAAAGCATGAGCGTTTTAGCAAAGTTTCTTGGGATAAAAAGTAGCTAGACTTTGGTCCACTGTTTATGTGACAGTGCTCCCAAATTTAGCATTCCTTCTGCTGGGGGAACTACGGAGGGAACATAATTGAAACGTAGGAAAAGATGAAAGAAACGAAATCAGTTACAAAAAAATACTGAATCACGCTGCTAATGTAACAGCAGGAGATGGACTGGGCGAGCTAACTGGAATCTTTCCCAAAAAAATAAAGGCAAATATGCTGTAGCAGAAAATCTTAGTGTCAAACACTCTGTCTTGATTTTTTTTTTAAGGATTAAATAATTTCACAATCAGATTTTCTTTTGATGTAAACCATGGTAACTAATGCACCTCTGATGCAGAATAAACTTGTGTGAGTCCCGGAGGACTTCCTTGATGTGAACGGCTCCTTCCCGTGGACTCCGCACTACACTGTTTCTCCCCCTTTTGGATCCCACTGATGATTTAAGTCTGTCGGGCATCATTCACACCCCGGTCCATATACAGCATGCAAGCAGTTGGGTGCTCAAGGGATTTTTAATAAAAATTGACTTTAGGTATTCAAGCAAATATTGATTCTGGATGTGAAAGGATAGTTTCTGTAGCTAGAGCAGTTCCTTCCAAAATATTAAAAACTGTAGTATTGGGTGTGGACTTTATATACCAATTTATATATTAATTTGATGAAATATGTATCAAAGTATCCACTTTTTATTATTTATTTAAATGCAAAAAAAATAAATAGATAAATCCACCCACAAGTTCCTTTGTGAATAGGGTTGTTGGTTCTGTTTTAATGCATTCTTTGGAGGGTAAACAGGCGAAACTTGTGAGGCCTTTGTGTTTTCTCTCACTCTCTCTTTCACTTCCTTCTGACAGTCCTACCCGGCTGACATCCGTGCCCCTCCTCCTCTTCACCCACTAGCCATCCCCATGTAGGTTCTGATAACCACTCCTTCTTGTCAGTTGACTGCATTTTAACTGAAGCACGGGTTCGTACTTAATTGTCATCCCAGTGAGCATTTATTTGCATGGTAAGCTTTTCATTCGTGAATTGTGGAACTCATTTCTCATGTTAAGGCAGAGGAAAGGTGGTAGGGAGACGATTTGGAAACCCAGGCATTTTTGAATGTATTTCTTCATTTGCTCGTTTAACAGACATTTGTTCAACTACCTCTTACCTGGTCCGGTATAGGTGTTGAGGGTCAAACAATAGCAAGAGAGGTCTCCCCTGTCAATCACGAAGCTTCCAGGCAGTGGGAAGGATCTAGTTGGCCTGCTGAGCCCCTCACAGAGGCCGTCTTATTTAATCAGCACGACGGTCCTTTACGAAAGCTAAGTTATACAGAGTTGAAGTAAACGTTAAAAACCCAGTACGGTCTTTGCAGGTGGGCCTCGTGCTTGACCCTCCTGCGGCTTTGATGCTGCTGTCCGCTCCCTCCCTCGCTGGAGTTCTCCTTTACTTGCTCTAAACTGCCCCATCCCACACACATTCCTGCCCCCTCCCGGGGGATCCTCAGCCTCCCACCTTACCCAGTTCATTCGCAAGACGTTAGTTTCTCTTAGGTCCTGTCTTGGTACTTTTTCTCGACTGACTTTTCAACCAGTATGCTGTTGTTAACCTGTGCCCTCAGCTTAGGCTCTTCTCCTGTTCCCAGTTCCCACTGGTGATTTGCCTTACTTTCTGTTACCACCTCTGGCCCCTGGAGCAAAGTGGTTGCTGGTGAATGCTGGGTTACTGACATCTCTCCCCTTGTCTGGGAGGAGGCGGGCTGAAGCACCTGAGCCCTAATTCTGTGGGTTTCTAAGAATCACAAAAGTGCCCTGGCCCGAGGTCTGCCAACAGCACCCTCAGAATCAGCCAGGCACCATTTCCTCCTCTTCTGTAATGATTACCCGCCCCCGTTCTCCCACCCTCTGCCCCAGCAGTAGATGACTACAGGAACGTTTGGCATTATTTTAGCAGGCATTCAGTTTCTTTTCCTAACTCAACTCACGTTTTTCTAAGGTCAAAGAACCCTTGCTTCTGTCCCTGACACAGAATTACAAAGACATCTGTCTTGAGGGTGATGCATACCTGTCAGTAGAAGGGTTGCCCTATTTTTAATCTTCTTGGGGAGGTCTCATTAGGTGGCAGGTGATGACAGGCTCTGGAGGAGGAGAACTAGGTTGGAATCCAAACTCCAGCCAGGTGAACGTGGGCAGGGTCCCCCACCTCTCTGCATCTGAACAGTGGGGTTAATGATATGGTTGTGAGGATGAGATGGGATTCCCTGTGTAAAGTGCTAGTGCACTGCCTGACACAGAGGGAGTGCTCGGTGGATGTTGGCTGTTCCTCTGAACCTGGGGCACTGTGGTGAATCAGTGGCTCTGGGAAGAGAAGTCAGATCAGAGTTTGGAAGTGTCCGTCTTTGATCAGTAACACAGGGTTGACTCCTGCCTGTGTTGAATAGAGAACACAGTCCTTCAAGTCACCTCTCATCTAGCTATAAAAGAAACTCTTTATTGGAGACTTTGGGGTTAAAAACATTGATCAGGGCCGGCCCCGTGGCTTGGTGGTTAAGTGCGCGTGCTCTGATGCTGGTGGCCCGGGTTCGGATCCCGGGTGCGCACCGAGGCACCACTTCTTCGTCCATTCTGAGGCCGAGTCCCACATACAGCAACTAGAAGGATGTGCAGCTATGACATACAACTATCTACTGGGGCTTTGGGGGGGAAAATAAATAAAATAAAATCTTCAAAAAAAAAAAAAACATTGATCAGGTCCTTGCACTTCACATCTGTATTGTATTTCCACGTGGCGGAGCAGGCAGTCCATACAAAGACTAGATTTTTCATAAGCTATGATATTTATTGAATACAATTGGTTTTATTCTTCTCATTTTTATCTGATTGTATCTGTTTGCTATCCCTTGTTTTCTGTCTCTGATCCACAGATGGCTTGCTAGGTGACAGTTTTGTGCCAGTGTCCCCTCCAGAAATGCTCATCAGGTGGTGGAAAAGCAAATACTAAAGATTTTCTTGTCTGTCTTTGAGGCACATTCGACCTCTCAGGGCCGTGTTAAGGGAGCAAGGCTAAAAAAGACTTTGGGGGAGTTCCCGCACAACTGACTTTGTTTTCTTCTCCAGGACCTACAGATAGAACGAGAGAGGAGTTCCTATAACATATCTGGCGGCTGCACGGCCCTTGTTGTGGTTTGCCTTTTGGGGAAGCTGTATGTGGCCAATGCTGGGGATAGCAGGTAAGCAAGTTAGCGTCTGTCCTTACTAATTTCTAATGCCTTCTGATAACTTTAAATATCTTTAAAAATATATTAAAATGGTTGGGCTGGCCTGGTGGCATAGTGGTTAAGTTCGTGCGCTCCGCTTCGGCAGCCCGGGGTTCGTGGGTTCGGATCCTGGGCGCGGACCAACACACCGCCTATCAAACCATGCTGTGGTGGCATCCCATGTTAAGTAGAAGAAGATGGGCACGGATGTTAGCCCAGGGCCAATCTTCCTCAGCAAAAAAGAGGAGGATTGGCAGCAGATGTTAGCTCAGGGCTAGTCTTCTTCACCAAAAAAAAAAAAAAATACATTAAATGGGGGCCGTCCCAGTGGTGTAGTGGTTAAGTTTGCGTGCTCTGCTTTGGTGGCCTGGGGTTCACAGGCTCAGATCCTGGGAGCAGACCTACACACCACTCACCAAGCCATGCTGTGGCCATGTCCCACATGCAAAGTGGAGGAGTATTGGCACAGATGTTAGCTCAGGGACAATCTTCCTCAGGAAAAAAAAAAAAAAATTTTAAATGATTAGAAATAAAGTAATTCTGCTTGGGATTTGATATTGTGAAAAATAAGCATCAACATCTGAATAAAAATGCATTGAAGAAGAATCACCAGGCCGTATTAGAAGGTAAAAGCATCTTCTGCTTGTCCCTAGTAGCAGCTTGTGTGTATTCCTGCGATTCATCTAAACCAGTTGTATTCGAACGTTTTTTGACTTCGGAACCTGTTTTTCAATGAAAGCTTAGCAGAAGGATAATAAATGACGATGAGGGAAGGGATTTGAATGACGTGAGTGTTTGGAGGGGACCCAGGAGGACTCTCCAGCTGTTTCCACTTCTGCTCAGTGACTTTCCACTGTCCCCTGCCAGGGGCCCAGGAGTTTCTCCTTTTATTCACATGCCCTTAAAGGCTACAATCACCTCTCTTCAGGTTCAGCTGAAAGAAATTTTGGCCAAGAGGTTATGGTTGACCCTTACTCTATCCAGCATTACCAGAGAATAAGATAAACTTGTGTTAATTTTATTTTAAATAACTTATGCTTGCTCACAGTAGGTGAGGGGAATTTTTAAATTACAGACTTTATGAAACATATTCTAATATGTATTACACATGTGTCTGCCCCATTAGTAACAAAATATGTTGGCTTTACAGCAGGACTTTTTGCTAAAGACTGAGTCTTTATTCTGAAAGGAAAGTTCTGGACTCTAACCACGATGTCCTCGGAGGATGAGCAATTTCCTGCGTGGGCTGCAGTCTTAGGGGACTCTCCTTCCTCTCTCCCCTTGCCCTAGGTCACATGCCTCTTCTCGGCAACCCTGCTTGCTCCGGCCCTCCTGAGGCCCGACCCCACCTCCCTCCCCTGCCCTGGCTCCAGCAGGTTGCGGCTGCTGCCCTGTAGCCTGGAGGACTGACTACCTGCAGGCAATCAAGGAGTTCACCTTAATTTTACTTCCATTTACAGCACAGGAGACTTAGGCCTGAGGGAGTCTCATTCCCCCTAGTAAAGCATCCTCCCCAGTCTTCCCACTAAAGTTCCCGAAACCAAAGCAGAGGGAACTGCCACAGCAGCAGTATTTGGGGGTTGAAGACTGATGTTGTTTGAAGGTCTGTTTATTTTAAAAGTGTGTGTGGATTTTCCACTCTACTCTGTAAGAGATCTCAGTTTCAATATAAGATCTTGCCAGGTAAATGGAAGTACGTACAAGATGCTGTGTTTGTCCCATGGCTTCCCTTCCCTAGTGTCACGTCATGGTCCTGCCAGGGGACATACTCCAACTCAGATGGGTTAACTGAATGAAGGAGTGAGAGGGCACAGGTCAGGAGCATTGAGGCCCGGGAAGGAATTTACCACCCTGGGCCTGCAGGGACCAAGGAGGAAATGCTACAGCACAGCCCAGGAGAGTGGGGCCACTGATGGAGCCCCCTGGGCAGGAGCTACAGCAGGGAATGGGAAGAAACACTCTGGCTCCTTTCTTCTCCAGTCCCCCCATCTCATGCCAGGGCTTCCCATTGGATGAGCCGGGTGGGAAGCTAGGTGACAGGTAGCCCGGGGAGTACAGGTCACAGAGGTCAGCCTGCCAGGACACAGACACAGGCCAGGATGGCGTCATCGGGGTGGGGGTGGGGTGAAGGGGAGACTAACCAGCACACCTGCTGCTCCTCCTCTCCTTCGTCACCCAGAGATGGAGCATCTTAAAAACAGGAATCCTCAACCTTCAGGGGCCTCTTAAGACACGCACTGAGGAGCCGGCCTCTGGGCCTCTTGTTCTGTTCTGGATCTTGAGCTTGTGAGGAGGCAGATGAGCAGATAAGGAGGTGATTCTTTCTGCTCTGAGACCGAGTTGATGGTTCAACTGTTTACTCCTATTCACCTTCTGTCTTCACGTCTAGTTCCGTGTCCTTTGAAGTAAGTTTGCTTTCCTAGCCCTTCCAGTGACTAAGGAGGTGACCGAGTGTCTTACTCCCTGGGGACAGGCCCACCCCTCATCCCAGGGAAGCCCCTCTCATCAGATGACCCCTGACTCAGAAGGTAACCCAACTTCTGTGCCTGGAATACCTTCATGTTGGGTTATCCTTTTCACTGAAGCCACTCCTCCCCAAAGCCTTTTCCTCATCTTGGAGGAAAGCGCTCCAAGCTCCTCCCCAGAGCCACCTGCCCAGCCCGGGCTTCTGGTCCTACTTCCCAGAGCTCCAGGCCCCTGTCCAGGACCTGCCAGTCTCAAGTGTTCATCTTCTGTAGTCAACTTCTGAGCTTTTGGCCCCGCCCCGTTTTTTAGTGTCCATTTCTAGACCGGATCTTGATTTCCGCATCTATAAAATGATGGTATTGGACCAAATAATCTCTAAGATTTCTGACATTCTAAAGATTATCCTTTGAGGAGTGACACTTTAGAAAGTAAAGTGGTGTTAGAAAGGTTAATCTTTTGGTTATTTTATCTTTCTTAGAGTTAGTTTTTAGGATTTTAGTGTAACTGAGGTTCCCGTCTTCCTAAATGTCCATAAAAGTATAATTTTTACACATTATTCCCCAAAATTTGAAAAGCCTGACAGGCACTTTTATCTTTATTAAAACTATAAAGGACCAAAAAAAAAATTATCCTATGATAAAACAGCACCTCTAAAACCTCATAAGCTTAATTACATGTAGAGTATTCTTGCCCTAGTATCCAGATATGAATTTGGGATTTGATGGCTGATTAGCTGGGTTTGCTGTTCACATGTGGGTCACATGTCCCGTAGAAACCCAGGAGCACTATGGGCTGGTATTTGTCTGCACCGTCCAAAGGATAACTTACAGGACACTTATTCATTAGTGTGCTATTTTCAGCTCTTGTATGAACAACAGATATTTGATGTCTTATATAGGATCGTTGCCTAGTTTATATGCTAATAATATATTATAGGTTTTTGAGTTTACACAAATATTCAGCCATTCCCAAGAAACAGCAACTAAGTGAACTTTGATCAGACTTATGTAAATGTAGGTCCGTTGTCACTCGTGGACAGGTAGTCATGAATCCAAGGGCTCAATTTAAACAAATGATTAGAGCTGACAGAGGATTCTGACAACAGGGCCCTGCTTCATTAAGGGCTCATTTTTCTTCTTGATTGCCAGATATTAGCTGTCGTATGTTTGCTTTAAATCTTGACAGTTGTGAGAGTGAGAGCAAATCTTTGTCATAGGTCCTCTACCACTTCATGATTCTCACTCGGGAAAAGAGAAACTTGGCGCTGGTTTGATTTGGAAGCTACTGGTGGTCAGGACTTATTTCCAAGCCACTTATGAGCTGTGAGTCATCTGACTTAACCATCAGGCGCATGCGCTCAGGGGCTGTGTTCAGGAGAAGCTGCCTGATGCTGTTTGTGGCTTCCTAGGTGATGAGTCAACAGCCACCCTCAGTGTGGAATGGTCCACAGTCATGTCAGGTGGCTGGTCCACAGCCTGGGGCAGGCTTGCCCTGTTCTCCAGCCACAGAGGCACGTGTGATAAAGACTTGATGCGGACCAGTTGCTTTATTTTTCCCAGGCAAAGGCAGCCAACTCCACACCTAGGGGATCAGAAGGGACTAGAAAAGAAGCAGATGGTGGGTGGATTGTCACTTCAAGCAAAAATGAACTGGAAGCATGCAAATGTCATGCAAAGCAGTACGCAAACTATCTCCCATTGTGTTTGAGTCATCCCTCCTTAGGGCTCTGAGTGCTTCTTCAGTTTAAGAAGATGCATTGACTCCATTTTAGAAGATTATTTTATTTCTAGAGCGCTAACGCACTGAGGAGGCAATCATTACCACTTATTTCAAACAATGTCTAAAGGTTTGGCAACTGAGACTGGGTGAACTCATTCAGATTAAAGAAAACCATTTAAGATTTGTTAAATCCATGATTCCACTCTTGCCAGATGTATAGTAACGGCAGCAATAAGACAGCTAATAAGTGCTAGGCACATGTTAAATACCGTAACAGGAAATCATTAATTCTCTCAGCAATGTGGTGGGAAGTAGGCGTTGTTAATATCAGATACGTAGACTGAGGCACAGCGAGATGACATGACCTGCCCATGGTCCCACATCTGCTAAGGAGCGAGACTGCCATCCAGCTCAAGGTGGAAGTCAGAGTGCCACGTTCGCACTCGACGCGCCGCACCCTGGGGTTTCCCATCCATGCTGCGACTCTCAGGGTTTTTTGTTTTTGTTTTTCACATGTTTAACATCTCTAAAGTCAACAGTTTCTAATTAACAGTTTTTCTTTCCTATCTGTATATGCAATAATGACATACCTCATCATCACTGGCATCTTCAATGTCACCTAAAATGGTTTATGGGGCAGAGTTGAGTGAAGGGCTGCACTTAGAAGCTATTTTAAATGTGTGGCTGTAGTGAGGCAGATGAGCTTTGGGTGGTCGAGTTCATTCATTTATGATATAGAGAATGATATTTTCTCAAAATGAGGGCTACCACCCCCTTCCAAAGGTCCC